CAACACCCTATCTCGAAAGAATCCATAACAAATAAATGGGCTGGTGGAATGACTCAAGGTGTAGGCCTGAGTTCCAACTCCAGTACCGCAAAAAAAAAAAAAAAAAAAGAGTAAAAGCATTGCTATAATGTTGTTTTGACTTGAAATATACTGTGAAGGGTAAAAGTATATGATGCATTCAACCAATTCTCAAACTATTTAGAAAACAATGTCAGACAAGTGCATGTGTATACGTGTGCATATGCCAGGGAGAGGGAGATGAAGTGGTGAAGGGGAACGGAGAGAATATAAGAATGATAAACACATATGCAGAATCTAGATTTAAAAAGAAAAAAATGACATGAACATAAAAGGGGAATTTTTGGGGGAGGAGGGAACCAGTAGATGGGGGATGGTGAAAGGAGAGGGTAACGGGGAGGTGAATATGAAAAATAATAAAACAAAGGCAGTGGTCATTTCCTTCACTATTAAGATGACACACTTTAGTCTACTAAAAAGGTATTCCTTTCCTAATAAATTTTGCTCTTTCACTAAAAAGAAAAGGTAGCAAAGTGTTAAGAAAAAAAGGGGGTTCTTTGCACCATTCTTAGAGATTTTGTGCACATATGAAATTATTGGAAATAAGAAGTTAAAAAAATGTAATAAGGTAGACTGTTTAGGGCACTGCACTGACTTGATTTCATAAGGTAAAACGTGACTTCATCCCTTAACAGTAACAACCATTCAGTTATTCAGGACTGAGAATGGTATGGGAAAGAGCAATTTTCTATACTAATTACTCTATTTATACAGCAAAACATGCACATAATTGTAGTTCATTTCTGCATGAAGATGCTCGGTCTTACAGATTTCAGGTTAACAACACTCACATCCATCATTAGATATTGTCTGATACATATCCCTCTCAGTCCGTCTTTAAAAAGACTGACAGAAGAAACATAGTATCGAATTTCTCTCTCTCTCTCTCTCTCTCTCTGTGTAGTTTGACTTACTGTACAAAGACATTCAAGCTATGTCCTTTTGAGTTGGGGGTGGGAAGAAGAGTCATGTTGCTTTAAAATTAATCTTTATATCCAGTAATATATAATAAATTATCTGTAAGTAGGTAAGGATATCCTGGGCCCCTGTTTCTGGTGGGGCAACAAATTTCAGATTAGATCAATACCTAATAAGTAAAAGGAAGACAGATGAGAGGTGGCATAAAAAGAAAATCCATACACTGTAATCTGAATACAGGAGCTTCTTATCAGTTCCTCTAGAGCCTTATGTCAATTGAGAAGGAACAGATATCTCTCATCTCCGCACTATGTTTCTTAATGCTTTCATGTCCACTATATCACCACTAACTTCAAAGCCTCTACTTGGAAACAAATTGAATCTCTTGTGGTAACTTAGGAAATAATGAATCCAGTTTGAGATAGAAACGTACCCAAATGAGTATATGTCAAATGGAACAGCAAGAGAAAACTTAAGGAAAACATGGAGCTGTCTCTCAAAATAGTGTGTACTTCAATACAAACAAAGCAAACCTATGGGTAAGTAAGTAGAAGATCACAAGGAATAAGAGAAGTCAAACTACAAAGACAAATCTTATAAACTCCAAGAAAGTGATTAAAGTGACCCAGGAGAGTGTTTCACAAAATACCAAGCCAAAAATTCAGATACAAAAAAACTTCATTTAAAAAATGAAGCTGTGTGCCGGGTGCTGGTGGCTCACATCTGTAATCCTAGCTTCTCAGGAGGATCGAGGTTTGAAGCCAGACCTAGGCATAGTTCCGCAAGACCCTATGTTGGAAAAACTCTTCACAAAGAAGAAAAAAAGCAGTGGGGGGCGGGGGGGGAGCTGATGGAGTGGCTCAAGGTGTAGGCTCCTTAGTATAGGACTGAGAATTAGGAATTTCTTCATTAAAAACAATTATGTGAATTATTTTAAACAACCACGAAATTAGAATAATAGGACTAGTTATCAGTTTAGACATGCTACCATAGCTTTTATTTCAAATCCCAGTGCCCTTCATTCCATTAAGTTTATCTTGTGAACCACAGACATTTCCTTGTTGCAGAAGAAAGCAGCAGCAGATTAGAAGACAGATAAGCAAAGATAAAAGTATAGAGAAATATGAAAAAGAGTAAAAGCATATTGAAATGCTCTCCTTTTGGGGATAAAGCACAAATGGAAATTTAGGACAGTTGGCTTCTATACCAACTTAGGTTTATTGTTTTTGAGACAGGGTCTTACTCTGCAGCCCACAGTGGCCTATAAACTTAATATCCTAGAGATCCTCTTGCCTCAGCTTCCTGGCTGCTGGGATTACAGGCATGATCACCACACCCAGCTCTATCAGCTTTAAACTAGCTAAGGTTGACATAACAATCATTCTATTCACTTACTCTCCTATGCCCTCTTATTTTTGTCTTCTATTTGTAACATATAGGGACAAGAATTCTACAATTACCATAATTTTAAGTAACAGTATCTTCAAAATACCTTTAGACTGAAAATTATTATAAGATATATGCTAAAATATGGAATATATTTTTTAAAAAACAAAATAAACTGTAACTGAAAACAAACTACAATTAAAATTAATTTTAAGCTGCAAGCTTACATTGCAGATTCAAATGTACTCTCCTACAGGAGTTGTAGATGTAACACTGATTGAGTTTTAAAAATTTCCTGTTTCTGACAGAAAGAATCCTTACACTTATACAGGGATTCAAAGTAACAGAACATGAGGTAATGTTCTGTGTGTTTGTGAAAGCTGGGTGTTTGTTACCTATTTTTATAGAATTGTTGAGCTAGTAATTTGTACATACATAGGGTTTTATATGCCAAAGAAAATTTTCCTCTCTATAAATCTCCTTTGTAGAAAATTAAAGTCCTTAAGTAAAAAGCCTTTTCCATTCTGTATGAAAATGGCATACTGCTTCCTTATACTTCTCTTTATGACAACACAGATTGTATAATCATAAAGTCAGCTATTTGATAAAGAAATTTTCTAGCATTATACCTGACTGGAAAGCTGTGTAGGCATGTCAGAGGCTTCACTTAAGCATGATTTGGGGAAATCACATTCAACATAAAGATTAAAACACATTTATTTATTCTGATTTTGATACAAAGGAAGCCAGAATTACAAACTGAGTATCAAACACAACCTCTGAAAAATACAACAAAAATGCTTTTCCTTTCATTTCACTATACACAAATATACATATGGCATTCCCCAAATATGAATTCAAGGGTTAAGGGTAAGGCTCAGTGGTAAAAATCTTGCTTAGCATGTGCAAAGCTCTGGGTTCAATCCCCCAGCACAACAATTAAGAAAAAGAACTGCCTAAATATATGAGTTCAAACATACAGGCAATCTACATTCAGAAGAATTTCAGTGAAAAAAATATATATTCGGTAGTGCTGGGGATCAAATCCCCCCACTTACACATGCTAAGCACGGTGCTCTCACAGCTGAGTAACACTCTGAGGGGTCAGCTCATCCTGGAGAGTTGCACCCTGACTTTGGGGTCCCTCTGATTTGGTTGGGATACCTTTAGGAAATGTAAAGCATCAGAAACCCCTCTCCTGACATGGGTCAAAAACTGTTTCCATCCCCTCAGACTCACCCCTGGGCTGTATTCTCCAGCACAAGACTAAATTTGAATCTCAAACACTTAAATGGTCCTTGGTTCTTCATGCTCGGGCCTTCATATATACTAGGCAGTACTCTAATACTGAGCTATATCTTCAGTTTGCATTTTAGTTTTATGTATTGCTTAAATCACAAATAATACTGGCATGTGCCTATAGTCCCAGCTAATTGGGAGGCTGAGGCAGAAGGACTGCTTAGCCAAAGAGTTTGAGGCCAACGCAGGCAACATAGTGATCCCTTATCTTAAAAAAAAAAAAAAATTACAAGTTAATCTGCAGTTTTTCATTTATCAATTAAAAGAATCACTGAGTTTAATATAAGAAGTTTGTTAGTAGCTGGATGCCAGTGGCTCACTCCTGTAATCCTAGCATCAGGATAATCACGGTTTGAAGCCAGCCAGGACAAACAGTTCATAAGACGCTATCTCAAACAACTCATCATAAAAAAGGACTGGTGGAGTGGCTCAAGGTGTGGGCCCTGTGTTCAAACCCCAGTAGCACCAAAAAAAAGTTTGTTAATATGTAAAAGGCATATGGAAATTTCTGTACTATTTTAGCAGTCTATTTCAAAATAAAAATTCAAAGAAGAAAAAGAGTAGCCACTGTATTGATATTTAAATGATGATATTTAACTTAATGCTCATCAGTGGTTTTCCTTTTAGCAAGGCTATTACAAACAAATACCATTTGTATTGATAGACTGGAGAACAATCATTCTCTCTAGAACATAACAGATTTTGAAAAATGAACTGGGGATTATACAATGGTGTAACAACTTCGGAGTAAGTTTCATAGGGACTATCATTAGCAATTCCACTTCTAAGGATTTACACAGGAGAAACAAATATGTTCACAAAACTTCTGTCTAAGAATATTCATAGCAGCTTTACTTATGGTGTACATAAACTGGAGATAACTCACGCCCACCAACAAATATAATAAATAAACTGGTATAATCATGCTCAGCAATAATAAGGAATGACCCAAACCAAAATTGATGAAAACATATAATATTGAACTGCAGAAGCTAGACACAAAGAGTACATACTGTATAAATTCTATTTACTTTTAGTCCAAGAACACTGAATCACGATGACCCAAATCAGAACCACGATGACCCAAATCAGAACGTGGTTGTCTCTGAGGGGTGGAAGAAGAGATGGACTAGAATAGGAAAGTGTCTGGAGTGACTGAATTATTCTGTATCATATATATGATTACATATGCATGTAATAAACACATACTGTAAAAATAATACGTGTAAATCATACTTTTAATTGACATGAAAATTAACCTTCCATTATAACTGTATCTTCAAAACTGAAGTGTTAACATTTCCTTTCTGGCCACTTACCGATCCAAGAGCTGATCATGTTTTTCTAAAGCATCCTTTTCAGCCATTACTGCACGGTCCTTTTCAGCCATAGCATTGTCCCTTGCTTCTCGGAGATTTCTAAAATTTAAAAATACACTTAAGTTATTTTAAATGCGTAAGCATCTTTTAAAGACTTAAACTTGCTTCTCTGAGTTGTACTAAATGACTATCTTAAGGACCAACTAGAGGTTGGTGATCCCAAGTGAACATTACAGGTATCTGCCTGGTTTGGTGGCTAGCAGAATTCAACTGGATTGGATAACAAAATTCTGTTTATTATTCACAGAGAATGCCAGCAGGAAGTCATTAAAACTCACAGTTTGAAAAAGTTTCTTCATGGGGTGGTGGAGTGGCTCAAGCGTTAGAGTGCCTGCCTAGCAAGTGTGAAGTCCTGAGTTCAAATCCTAAACCATAAAAAAAAAAGTTTCTTCCTAACTTTTCTCCTCATGGGTCAAAGGGTAGGCTAAATAGTTTGCATATGTTATACCTCATTTAATCCTCACTGTAGTCCAATGAGGTAAGTATAATTATTCATATATCATCCACAATGAAACTGAGGCTTGATGAGATTAAGAAATATTTTTATAAAATATTTTAAGTGAAAGATGTATTGATGGAGATCTCAAGTATCAAAATGGGAATGAAGTATGAAATATGGGCAAGACAACAAGTGAAACAAAATGGCCTTGGGATCTCAGTTGTAGAGAAAGGGAAGAGAAGGGAACATAGAAAGACTCATCTATTGGGAGAAAGTAGAAGAGAGAAAGGACTGAAGGTTCTAGAAGGCGATACACAGATTAAGTGGAGGTAGCTACACATGCAAACTAGAAGACGAGACAGCCGTTGGAGAATGGTGATTTGGAGATAGAACTGCACATTTGTGGCAGAATATTATTTGATGATGAGACAGGTGTGCTCTTTAGAGTGGCTAAATGAAGCACAGCTGAGATGAGGGCCAATATTCATGTAAGGCACTAAGAATATGAGGTCAGGGTATCAGATAAGACATCCACTTACACTGGTGATGACAGCAGGAACTGAAACTGACAGAAAGACTACATTCATGGGAAGCTATGGAGAATGCCCAGAAGGTAGAAGGTAGTTACAGTGAGTAATTAGGAGATTACACAGTCAGGCATGAACTTTCAAATATCAAATTCTATTTGTTTTAATGCATCTGATACTTTGGATCAAGAAAAATATGTCAGTTTCTTTTAGAAAGAATTTTTAAAAATCTCCTTCCTTAACAGAGTAATACTATATAAATAAATACAGAGCATAAAACAAATGATTTTGCTCACATAGTTCCTATAAATCCCTTATGTTGTGTTGTCTAACCTATTTTGTAGCTTGGCAAACTGAAGTTCAGAGAGCTTCAAGACACAATGCACAAGTGCAAAAGGATCAGTTTGAACCCAGCTCAGACTTATTCCAAAGCCTATGCTTTTCACATCACATCACCCTATCTCATAAAGAACTAGACTGGTTACTAGAATTTGGTGTTTTATTAGTCACAGAGAATGTCAATAGGGAGTTACATAGCTTATGAGCCAGAAAAGATAGTATAAAAATTGGAGGATGGCTGTGGTGAAGTGGTTCAAGTGGTAAAGCACCTGTCTAGCAAGTGTGAGGCCTTGAGTTCAAACTCGCAAAAAAAAAAAAAAAAAAATAAGACAAGTAACCCTATAGACAAGTAAACTATTTTTGTGTTTTTTCTAAGAAGAAGTGAATTCTTAAGTAGCTACTACAAAATGGCATATTGTTATTTTTCTGATGTCATCTTGATTGCAATAACTTTCAAAAATATTCTATTATCAAACTGAAAGAAAAAAATTCTCAAAGTATATTAAACATTTATGTATTTTTTCATTCCTAGATGACCTAAATATTTTAGACAGTAAATTATCACAAACTGGTTTTAAGTTTCATTTCTAAACAAAACCTCATTATTACATATGTTACCTCAGAAACAGAATTCTAAGTAGGTCACATTTATAGTACTAATTAAACATGAATGCTTAGTTGGTAGATAGAGAAGCTTCAATTCTGGCTATCCTTCCTTTCTTGGATAGTTTTTTTCTAATAGGAATTAGAAATAAAAGCAAGCCACAGCAAATGAAATAAAACCCAGACTAAGCTAACATGGCTCGTGAGAAGAGTTGTAATTAGAGGGTACTATCACATTCACCACACCACAATCTATATCATCTAGCTAACTACAAGTGTTATATTAAGGCATAAACAAAATTCTAAGGCCACAAGTTGTTGCTGATTAATTTTAAGTGGAGTAAGAGAGACAAAGGAATAAAGGAGACATTTTTTAAAAAGTGACATTGGACTGGAGGTATGGCTCAAGCAATAGAGCACCTGCTGTGCAAGCATGAAACACTGAGTTCAAACCCCAGTTCCACCAAAAAGCTGGGCACTGATGGCTCACGTGTACAAGCCTAGTTACTTGAGAGGCTGAGATCTGGAGGACTGCTGTTCAAGGCCAGCCCAGGCAAAGAGTTCACAAAACCCTATCACCAGAACGAGGCAAAATGGACTGGAGGCAAGACTCAAGTATTGGAGCGCCTTCTTTGCAAACACAAAACTCTGAGTTCAAAACCCAATTCCCCTTCCTCCCTCAAAAAAAAGGGGACATGTGAGAAACCTTAGGTAAGGCAATTAAAAAAGAGAAAACCAAAGTAAAAGGGGGAAAGTGATAGAAGCTGAAGCTTTTACTATATTCCTTTCTTTGGAGTTTGCATGTAAGATTTCCTTGTAAATTCATTTTCCTTATTGAGTGCCACACCTTCTATATCTAGCCCACAATCTGCATACTTTATACTTCCTTTAATATTACAAATTGACATTTCAAATTAAGTCTGAGAGAGATAAACTGAATGTATTCTTCCACTGAAAATAACACTAACAGCAAACATATAGTTTTAATGCATGTCAAGAGATGCTCTAGGCACTTTACATGTACTAACTCATTTTGTTGTTACAACAATCCCATAAACTGTAGTTGTATCATTTCCATTTTACAAATGAGAAGACTGAAACACAAATGGTTCAGCATTCGCCTAAGGTCACATAGCAAGGTACAGTATAGATGCCAAATGTGAATGCAGAGTTCACTCTGTTTCCAGAGCTTGTGCTCTGAGTCCTACTATGCTGCCTCTCTAGAACTGCCTTTGTTTCACAGACACATTCTCCTTGGGAAATTCTAACATTACAAGATTTATATTGCATGACTACTTTATGGCACAAATAGATGTCAAATCAAAATTAGCCTTAAAAGAATTGTGAATATATTGTATATTTGCTTTTATGGCTCACAGTGTGTAACATGTTCCTTCGAAATTAGACTGGTTTGATAAAATACCAGATGGATTGTATTCCTGTCACAGATAAAACAGTAACTTCCATATAACTAATAAATAATCCATTTCTAAATGTTAAATGCATTAGAAAATGTAGCAGAAATACAATTACAGAACAAACAGCAGGAATTCAAATGTTCCTCAAAAGAGAAACTTGAAAAATTGACAGAAGCTATCTGTAGCATGTATAAGCTAATGAAGCTCAATTTTTAAAAGTCCAAACTGAGTGTATGAACAAATGTAATTATAATACACAGAAGAAGATGTTGGGAGTTGGCCAGCTGGCCAGTATTACAACAAATGTTTTAAAATATAAAAACCCAAAGTTCCTCAGTATCTACAAGAGATTGGTTCCAGGTCACCTTCCACCCCCATATGCCTGACAACATGAAAATCCAAGGATGCTCAAAGTCCCATCTATAAGATGGCATAGTATTTACAGAGAACCTACCCACATATAGACACACAAACCTGCATACTTTAAATTGCCTCTAGGTTACTTAGAATACCTAATACAATGCCATATAAATTAATGTATTCTTTAGGAAATAATGACAAGAAAAAAGTCTTTACATGTTTGGTATGGGCACAATTTTTTTTATTATTTTATTATTCATATGTGCATACAAAGCTTGGGTCATTTCTCCCCCCTGCCCCCCCACCCCCTCCCTTACCACCCACTCTGCCCCCTCCCTCTCCCCGCCCCCAATACCCAGCAGAAACTATTTTGTCCTTATTTCTAATTTTTTGTTGGTAGAGAGAGTATAGAGCAATAATAGGAAGGAACAAGGGTTTTTTGCTGGTTGAGATAAGGATAGCTATACAGGGCATTGACTCACAATTGATTTCCTGTGCGTGGGTGTGATTACTTCTAGGTTATTCTTTTTGATCTCACCTTTTCTCTAGTACCTGTTCCCCTTTTCCTATTGGCCTCAGTTGCTTTAAGGTATCTGCTTTAGTTTCTCTGCGTTGAGGGCAACAAATGCTAGCTAGTTTTTTAGGTGTCTTACCTATCCTCACCCTCCCTTGTTTTTTTTTTTTTTTTTTCATGGTATATTACTCTTCATTTATTGATGGATTTAGTTTTTTAATATTTTATTTAGGATGTTTGTAATCATGTTTACCATATGACTAGCCTGTGATTTTTTTCTTTTCTTTTTTTTTTCCTTTTTCTTTTATTATTCATATGTGCATACAAGGCTTGGGTCATTTCTCCCCCCTGCCCCCACCCCCTCCCTTACCACCCACTCCGCCCCCTCCCTCTCCCACCCACCCCCTCAATACTCAGCAGAAACTATTTTGCCCTTATTTCTAATTTTGTTGTAGAGAGAGTATAAGCAATAACAGGAAGGGACAAGGGTTTTTGCTGGTTGAGATAAGGATAGCTATACAGGGCATTGACTCACATTGATTTCCAGTGTGTGGGTGTTACCTTCTAGGTTAATTCTTTTTGATCTAACCTTTTCTCTAGTTCCTGGTCCCCTTTTCCTATTGGCCTCAGTTGCTTTTAAGGTATCTGCTTTAGTTTCTCTGCATTAAGGGCAACAAATGCTAGCTAATTTTTTAGGTGTCTTACCTATCCTCACCCCTCCCTTGTGTGCTCTCGCTTTTATCATGTGCTCATAGTCTAATCCCATTGTTGTGTTTGCCCTTGATCTAATGTCCACATATGAGGGAGAACATACGGTTTTTGGTCTTTTGGGCCAGGCT